GTTTTTTTTTATTTCAAAAACGAAAGGCGAACCGCCGAGTGTGAAGTGTCCGGCTTGAAAGTGAAGCAGCCAAGGTGGGGCTGTTTTGCGATCGCAGCTGTTCCTCGCCCAGACCCCGGCGTGTGGCCTGAAAGCAGACTGGACGAGCGAGCGAGCGAGCGAGCGGGCGAAGGTTGCTGAGCATGCAACCAGGAATTTCCCCCACACACAAACGGAACAGATCACTGTTCATTGTAAAGTCACTGTGAATTGTGAAACATTTCACTTTCGTGGAATTATTTCATACTTTATCTCGCCCCCTCTCTTTCTGTATTTAAGTGCTACCTCCCCCTCACCCTTGCTCGACATCGAACTCCATACTTGTAAAGAACAAGATATTCCCCTACACAAAGGCCACTATATATATATATATATATATATATATGCGAGTTTTGTTAGTGTTGTAGTACATCTGTGACATTTCATGCCAGAGTTCAGACCTCATCAGGATTCACGATCACTGGCTGTGATTTAAGGTGGTATTTTCCGTCCATGAATGGCACTTCATGTAAATAGATCATATTTATACAGTATTTATATTATTAAGATTATAGCACAATCCTATATAACATTATATTATATATAATATGCCCTTCTCTAGCTGATCGCAAGCCTCAATCCTAATATATGATATATCCAATGTAATAATCTGTAAATAGAAACATAAGGACATCAGTACAGTTGGATACATTGTAGAAATGTGTGATATCCAGTGAATGGTGGTGATATTGATTAGCCTGTATTCCTAAAACAATATATTGACCCAAAGTGAGTTCTGAAGTAGGTAGTGTAGGCTCATTAAGAAGCATTTCCGGTGAATCCGTTCATGAAACAGGAAATAGGTTGCTCATAAACACTATTTAAAGTCTGCCATGTCAGTTAGTTTGCAACACAGCTGAAGCTACATAAGCCGTCATGTCAAGATTATAAGGTTTCTTTACAAGTCTTTTTCTGATTGCAGTAAATATATCAGCCCAACAATCTAAGGTTAGAGCGATCAGCATCTCCTCATCTTCCTTACATGATTTATTTTCATTGCTACAGGTTTCGGCAATAGCAATAGTTGCTTTGCTGCAACTGAGTTTCTCTCCCACCATCCCTCCCCCTGAATAAATACCTAAAGTCAGGCAGGTACGGTAAGTCATCAACGCACCTCACAAATCATTGAAATGGTCTGCAGGACATTGTGTTCCTCTACTGAGCCAATAAACCACAGGGTTTAGTAATATGGAATGTTAGTGAGATCATCACACACAACCGGCTGACGCAGAAGACACATTATTTGTGAACTTCATCTGGCTTTTGCAGATTTGTACTCTGAAATTTGATTGCCGCCTTTAATTCCCATCCAAGTCCCTGCTATTTTACAGTCTCTCTCTGTTGCAAGAGATTCTTGAACTCTTAAGTTGACTCGTCATTTGAGACGACAGCTAAGCTCTTGATATTTGTCTGCTAGCTTGAAGGACGTATGCTATGTATCCAAAAGAAAAGCAAACATGGCATGCTGTAAGTATCAAGTCAGACCTAGGAAGTATAACACATTATGATGGGTTGTTTACCAGTTTTGATTTTCAACTCATCTTCGTACAAGTTGAGTTGGGTGCCAAGTGAACAGAATTCACAAAATTGTATCACATAGCTGCGAGCTTGATCCACAGTAAGGAATGTGTTGTTAAGCAATAACGTGCCAAAGGGTTCAGATGATACTAGGAGCCAGAACTGCAAGATGTATTGCTCTCTTGAAATGCACTCCTAATAATAATCCTTGTATTTTACGCTTTATCACGTCGTTGAGATATCTGAAAGTGATTCACAGAATATACTGTCAAGTAGATTGGTTAGAGCGCTCACCTCAAACCTGGGTTTGATTTCCGGCAGGGCGAAATGTTGGGCAAGTTTCCTTACTCCACACGCCTCTGTTTACCTAGCAATAATTAGGAACCCAGTTGTTAGTTGATTGGTGGATCGCTTTTCTGGGGATAATAATTCTTTTAAAAATAATAATAATAAATTGGTGACTGCAATCCACGACTGTTTGTAGGACACTGCTCTGCGTAGTTGGCTGCCACGTTTCGTTCACAAAATATACAGTCAATTCACTGTACAGTATATTCTGTGAAGCGCTTTGAGATGCCTCAACAATGTGATAAGGTGCTACATCAAATGCATGGATTATTATTATTATTATTAATTGACAGTACAATTTCTACCTTT